CTCTCTCATCTATGTTTCTAACTCTCTGTCCCTCTCCCTTCCTTTCTGTAAAAAAATCAATAGAATATAACAAAAATAAATAAATAAAAGGTTATGTTACAAAATAACTCATTTCCTAGTAATACTTCTAAGTAGAAAATAATTGTGGTTTGTGTGTATATTTTAAAAAACAGGACATAATCTCTATTTACAAATTTAGAATATTTAATGAACTTAACAATATAAAGATTGTACTCCATCAATCATACTTTCCCCTCCAACACTATTTATACAGATTTATAAGAAGTTCTAGCCCTGGCCAGGTGGCTCAGTTGGTTGGAGCATCATCCCATACACCAAAAAGTTTACCTTATCTGGTCAGGGCACATACCTTGGTTGCTTGTTTGAGTCAGGAGCTTATGGGAGGCAACTGATCAATGTTTCTCTCATACATCTTTCCCTCTCAATCCCTCTCTCTCTCTCTCTCTCTCTCTCTCTCTCTCTCTCTCTCTCTCTCTCTCTCTTTCTCCCCCTTCTTCCCTCCCTCCCTCTAAAATCAATAAACATATCCTAGGGTGAGGATTTTTAAAAATCTAAACAAAATTATTAAACCTTAGATCTGGCTTATTTCTACTTATCTTTCATTCAACCTTATTTAACATTATCCTCCTGTGATGACAGCTATGAACAAAAAGACATGATATCGCGTGGGTGCTCTGTGAAGTTGGGTCACTGGGATGGGAATGTGGGGCAGTTATTTGCCTGTGTGTTTTCTAGCTGTATCTTGAAACTTTCTCAACCTTACCAACTTGACTTTTTCTAAAACCACAATATTTATACTACCGAAAAGCCTCGCCAGTCATATGTAGGATTGTGGAAAAGACCCAGATCACTGTGTATAGAAAGGCCAATAATTGTGGGTTTCATGGTTATGGTTTGGGAACTTCTACCCATCCTCCTCACCTTCCTGGTTTTTTTCCTACATGACATAAACTAATTTTCCCAGTACATACAATTTCCATCAAATATATGTTACATCATTGAAAAGCAATCAGATTTTTTTTTTCCAGAAAAATTCCTTTCTCAAGCTATAGTCCTACTCATTTACTTTCCTATATCCAGGTAAGCACGCTGCTTTTCCCAAGGCCTTTTTACACTATCCATGCTAATCCAAACCAAACAGACCTTTCGACGGTACTGACAATGACGTCTTCATCGAATATGATCACTGCTCAGAGCTTCGGCTCCGTTTGCTCTGTAATGCTGTGCCAGGATCCTGGCCTTTAGATGTTTCCAGAACCTCTGGAAACATTACTTATTTGTTTGTGATTATAAGCCTTAGAATGGTTTTGCCCCCACAACAAAATATGAGAATGAATAAAAGCAGTGTGATCTCTTATTGGGTGGGAATATTTTTCTTTACCTGCCATACAGCTTGGAGCCAGTTAGAACAGAATTTTAAGTAATAACCCATCGTGGTGCATTTGTAAAATACACCAGAATTAAAACAGAGGAAAAGAATTCGCTGTAACAGGTTCCATCCTCCCTGCCCCCCAATCTTTTCTATTGTTTCCCTTAGTATTAAAAGTACTAACATTTGTAAATTCTGAGAAATACTGGTGGGAACTATGATTAAGAACTCACATTATTTAACTTTTAAAATATAAATAAAATAAAATAAAATAAAATAAAAACCACCCCTTTTTATATCTTATTGTTAAGGTATCAAACACACCCTGGCACTCAAATTGGGCTGTATTTAATTATCATAAAGGCTAACCATCATGGTTCTATCACCAGAAAATACTAAGAATATAGACAGAAATAACACTTCCTAATTTTTATTTGAGGATTTCAAAAGAGCACACTAATAATTGATTCCCTTCCATATTGGCTGCATTGTAATAGAATAAAAGAAGTTTTTTTTGTTTGTTTTTAAACTGGGTCCTTTAATAAGGAACCAAAATCAACATCAAGAACCAAGCACACCTCCCGTCAGTGGGAACAGGGCAGGGAGGAGGTTGTTTGAACATGGGCCGAACAGCCCCTTCTCCACTCGCCCTGGTGAGTGCCAGCCCCGGGCCGGGCAGCAGGGCACGGCAGCATGTGGACAGGCAGACAGTTTTGCGGGCTCCCACTGGCTCCTCAGGCCAAAGTCCAGGCAGAAGTTGGCCTTGTGGGGTTCCTGTCGCTCTGCCAACCCCTGGCACTCCAGGGACACCGTGAGGAAAATGCCGGCCAAATCCGCATGAGAAGTCACCTCTTCACATTGTCTTCCACGTCGGGGGTTGGACCGAAGGAAACCCCTTCTGTCAGATGTTATGGTGTTTGTGCACCAGCCAAGGAAAAGTGAGAGAAAGAGAAAAAAAGAAAGCAACTTGTTTAACCTCGTGCAACGGAGAGAAAGGATTCTCCAAGGTAGTTGATCTGGGAATGAGGCCCAACATGCCCAAAGCTCAGCTCAGTTTGCTCTTTTTCCACTTACTGATGGCTTTCAAAAATTGAAAAAATTATGATCCTATCTACATTGGGCCATTATATCATTGCTTTCTCAAAGAGGGAATGGTCCAGAGTCTTTGTTGGACAATTACAGAAAAATCTGGGCACCATTTGACAATGGTCAATACACAAAGCACAGTCAGATGTATGTGTGTGTGTGTGTGTGTGTGTGTGTATGTGTGTGTGTATACATACACATAGACATAGACATATACATATATATAGACATAGACATATATATGTGTGTGTATATATACATATGGCATATAGACAAATTGAAAAAGCAGATATGAAGGAAAATGTCTTCATTAGCCATTCTTAAGGATCTAAGTAGGAAATACTACTTTTAATAAAGTTCCTTCAACACCACATATATGTGTAGATGCTCAAAGATTTACAACCATGTACATATAGATGTTCAGAAACAAACATGAACATCTCATGCATGCAATCTCTTTTCTGAACCAATAAAGACAATGCATTTCCAGGGAACATTTATATGATTTTTATTATACTTGATTTTGGAAAAGTGGAAATCATAATCTTACACAATTTCCTTCAAATGGGTAAACGTAGACCATTTGCCAAGGCTTCCTTCAATTTTCACACCACGCTGAACTCCAACAGGTTTTTGTTTTAAGGTAAACCAGGTTTTCGGTTCCTCCCCGTGGAGAAGTTACTTTCAAGTCAGTGAAAGTTCTTGGCCCATGATTAAAAGTCTTTGCCAATTAGTACTCAACAACTTCAATTCATTTTTTTCTGGTTCAAGATGAGTAGGAGCCTAATAAGGCTGTGATAAAAGGGCAAAAGGCACCGAGAGCCAAAAGCGGATTAATGAGCTCCTCCATTTATTTGTCTTCCTAACAGCTGAACTGTTACAACTATTGACACTCTTCAAAAGGTTCCGCTCTGAACCCTGTCCAGGCACTGCAGGCTCCAATGGACATCTTCAAACCCAGAGAATGGAGGGCAAGAGCTTCCCCCGTGTGGTGCCAAAACCAACAAAGCCCCACGGATCAGGTAATGAAACTTCAGCTTTTCCCCCTTTGGGATTTATTTACTGGCAGCTGACAAGGGGCAAATTCAGCTCGAATTGTGCAGTCAAGGCCCTGTCAAGCTTTTAGAGGCACCCTTGTCTTGAAGCACCTTCATGACTGGCATTTCACTCAAAAGCCCTCGGCGCTGGTCCTTAACAGCTTATGACATCACAAAGGACACTCCAGACAGATGCCTACATGGCATCCTGCAGCATTTTAAAAGAGAATTAGTGGTTTTAATTATGGTCGTAGTATGAAAGGGAACCATGCAAGCTCCACGGGAGACCTTTGATCAGACCCTTTTGCTAGTACAATGCCACGGAACTGTGACTATTCCTGGTAAGGGGCCTTTTCTCGCTGAATGACTCACCAGTGATCTTTGAATGCAGACAAGCCTCTAGCCCTCCCTCTTCATTAGTGAGCATTTCTATACAGGGGCCTATATAGTGCTCGGAGTCTTGGAGCTATACAATCGGGGGGAAAAGAATCCCTACGGATTCGGGCCTCTACTTAGGAAGTGCTGAAGGACTCTGAGTGACTTTATTCATTAAAACAGGTTGCTATTAATTAACTGTCATAATAAAATAAAGAACTATTATTTGCATTTCTTACTATGTTCTCTTTAGTAATATGTATAAAAGATGCTTGTAACAGAAATGAATTTATTGAACCATTTCCCCATCCACCCCCTTGAATCCCCACCACCTTTTTTTTTTTTTGCATTTTGGCAGCAGGAGCCTACTAATTATTGGGCCCAGATTCATGAGCACAAACAGAAGCAAAGCATAAATATAAAATTAAGGAACTAAAAAAAAAAAAAATCTTTTTACTGACCAACCAGTTTACACGACTAAAAAAAGCAAACAATGAATTAACTTTATTTTTCAGTGCTTTCGGAGAATTGTCTAAGACAATGAAACCCCAACTTTTTTCAAAATATCACTGGTTGGTGTTTAGCTTGACACAGGAGATTATGTAACAACCACAGCTAATAAAAAATAAAAGAATTCTGACTTGCAGCATAACAAGATTCACTTTTTTTTTTTTTTTTTAAGCCACTTTTGGGAAACAGAAAATGTCTTTGGTATGGTATTAATGTTTGAAGGATATAACCTTCAAAACTGATCCCAATAAGCAGGGCCCTTAGAAGATTCACAGTCAATATTTTAAGTATATGAAGAGAGTGCGTTCTCTTTTAGAATCTAACGGAGCAACATCATCAGGTGAAAGGTTGTGGAAGTGGGAAGGATGCTCAGAAGCTTCTCCCTGAAATGCTAACTTGAGGACAGGGGATAAACAGATTTTGCATAAACAACATAATTCAGTCATAATCACCCTACCGACCCCCAACCCCCCAATTACTTCTATCTGGGAAGTGACTTAAGTCTTCGATTTTTCATACAGTTCCTTTTCTCTGAAGGAAAAGTTTTGGACCTCAACATTTTGGAAGCAGGATGACAAGCAGGTTTCCCACATTGTGCTGTCTCAGGCATTTTTCCTGTTTCTCAGACTCTGCAGTTCTTTTCGGAGGTGCTTCAGAGCGGCTGAAATATCAGCCAGCTGCGGGTCATTCTGCGCTCTCTGGGTGTAGAGGCGGAAATGCCTGATGGTTTCCGATAACAAGACTTCGGGGTCCGCGCCTCCCTCCCGAAGGCGCAGCATCCGCTCGCAGGCGATGGCATAGTTCTTGTGCCAGTTCACTGGGTGTTCCTTTTGCAAGTAGACAATCTCCTTATAAAGCTGGAAGACAGCAAAAATGATGGCATTTCATTCTTAGCCCTTTCCTTTTTACCCCACAAAATACCAGAAAACACAGAAGAATTAATATCGCAAGGAAAAAGAAATCCGAACAGCCTGCGGCAGGAATCTAATCGTTGCCAGGCCATGCAGAAAATGCAAGGATGCCTCTGCAGTAATTACAGGAGGCAAATGTGCTCCGTCTAAAACTGCTTCTGGGGTTTTTCAGATGTTGCAGAGGAAACCTAGGACGCACTGCGTCAGGACAAATGCTCTTCCCGCAGAAAGATGTTCCGGGAAAGAGATTTAGTTCTAATTCATGGAAAGCTATTTACTCACTAGGCAGAAAGCTTGAAACTCTAAATTTAGCTGTTGGAGGAGAGAAAAAAAAAAAAGCTTTCTTTAGAAAAGTGCCTGGGAAAAGAACTTGAAGGAATTTCAATTTTGTCCCTCATTCTTACATAAATGTCTCCGGACTTTTAAAATAAAGAGTAATAACAATAGCCATATATATTAAAACAAACCCAGCATCAAAAAGGCCAAGCATGATAAGAATCGAAGAGATATCTTTAGAGTGAAACATTAAAAGTCTTCTTAGTATCCTATAATTGCAATTTTGATAGTGAAAACTCTGTCCACAGGAATTAGACATTTTATTTCTCAACGCCAGAGGTAGTATTAATTAAACAGAGTTGGAATTTATCTATTTTTGATACAGTTTTCTGGTGGGAAAACATGAAAATTTAACAAAAGTAGGTATGTGTCTGCAAAACGGAAGGTTACACTTGTTGCATGGGGATTTCAGCCTTCCTGGGATTGTCAAGTTGGAGTGGGATCCACAGGAACCTGAGTTTACAGTAGACTCCATGAGAGCACAGAACAGCAACTATGTTTTCTCTAGGGACAAGTGCTTTCTGAATTAACGACTGTATTCAACATAGCACTCACTTGAAAGGAACCCAATATATTATCTATTTCTCCAATGCCTACTCCAGAGCAGACCAATGCATTTCTAATTTATTTTTAAGTAGCGTCCACATGAAAATTTCCACAATCCATGCGTGATACGCCATTTTGACATTTTATAATGTTCAGTGTTTAAGTTGCTTTTTGAAGCAAGTTTCCCCTGAATTTCCTTCACTTCACAAAACAGAAAAATCATCTTGCACTCTTGTAAATATACTTTCAAATACACCAAAGCTAGGTAGGAAGTTAAGCCCCGCTTTTTTTTTTTTTTAACATTTAAATTAAAATTGTGTAATTTATTGATTTGAGAGATATTTGTTGTTCCACTTATTTATAATTCACTAGAGGCTCTGTGCACAAAATTCATGCATTGGGGGGTGGGGGGGGGTCCCCCAGCCAGGCCTGTGCTCTGTCACAGTGAGGGAGCCCTTCTATCAATCGCCCCAAAGAGGTAGGCCCACCCACCCATCCAGGAGTCTTCAGTGGATTGCCTCAAAGAGGTAGGCCAGAGCCAGGTGTCCCACCTCCAGGCAGGCCTCACCAACCTGGGAGGAGGCGGGACTCCTGGGTGGGGCCCCTAGGGAGCCAGGGGACCTGCTTCATCCCTGCTCTGTATTTGGAGCTGGGAGGGGGCGGGGCTCCCAGGCAAGCTGTATGCCGTGCACGCAGCATCAAGCCCAGCCCTGCCCAACTGCACACACCCACTGTGCACCCAGCCATCTTGTAATGGCATGAGGGCATCACAGTGTGATGACCACTAGGCTTTTATTAGTAAGGATTGGTTGATTCTTGTATGTGCTGTGACTACAAATCAACCCACAACCTTGGTGTATCAGGACAACTCTCTAACCGGGGCCAGCCCTCCACCCTTTCCCTCACTTGGCAATGTTTTCTACCTTTCCCCGTAGTCTTTTTTTCTCTTCATGAGCCTCTCTCTGATGAGGGACAAGTGGAAAGGGCGGGGCACACTCCCCAGTACAGAGCAAGTACTCAGGAACTGTTCCTGTTCTTTACTTCATCAAGTTTTCAAAGTTCTACTAAGACTCTTAGCGTGGTTGGGTCTCAACGTTTGTTTGGCTTCCTGGGACCACAGAAGGCAAAGCTATGCTCCTCCCCTTCATCTTTCTCATGAACTCTCCACCAGCCCTGGCCCTGTCGTCTCAAGTGTCACAGGGTCATGACTCCTGCAATAGAGTTCTTTTCCAAATAAAGTTAGTTTCCCATTACTGTGGTAACAAATCACCATAATATAGTGGCATAAAACAACATTAATTTATTATTTTACACTCCTGTAGGTCAAAAGTCATAAAATCAAGGGTGCTGTAAAATCAGCAGGCTCTAGAATCCATTTCTTGCTTTTTCCAGCTGCCTGTACTCCCTAACTGTGGTCCCTTCCTCATCTCCCAGGCCACCTGCATAGCATCTTCAGATCTTCCTCTTTGACCTCCTTCTCCTTCCCAGACTCTGACTCTCCCACCTCCCTCTTCTTAAGGACCCCTGTGAGGATACTGGGCCCGCCTGGATATGATCCAGGGAAATCTCCCCACCTCAAGATCCTTAATCCTCCTCTGCCACGTCCCACCACCATATAAGGTCACAGGTTCTGGAGATTAAGACCTGGACATCTTTAGGGGGACCATTATTTTGCCAATGACAGCTATTTACTTTAGATATTATTTGTGATGCATGAGTATTTTTCCACTTACACTGCTTTAAAATGGTAAATAAAGCTGGGAATTAAAAAGTAAAAATTCTGTGACACACCCTCTCTCCATCCCAACAACTCCCACCCTCACAACAAATCCTATATAATAAAAGGGTAATATGCAAATAGACCGAACGGCAGAACAACTGGTCGCTATAATGCACACTGACCACCAGGGGGCAGCCCCTGCACTGAGCATCTGAGGACAGGGGGAGTGCTGCTCAACCAAAAGCCGGGCTGATAACTGGCAAGTGCAGCAGTGGTGGCAGGAGACTATCCTGCCTCTGCAGAAGGGCTAAGGATGTCCAACTGACGGCTTAAGCCTGCTCCCCACGGGCTCCCATACTGCGAGAGGACAGACACAAGCCAGGCTGAGGGACCCCTCTCCCCCGAGCATATGAATTTTGTGCATCAGGCCGCTAGTATACTGATCTATGTAGAAGTATATCATACGTCATATGCGTGAGTGTAGAGCTGAGCTTTCACATTTGAAGGCACATTCACAGTTTCTGCCAGGTTAAAAATGAAGAACGGTGTTTTCATCCTGGAAGGGTGGAGGAAAAACACTGCATTAAAATCATGCCATCAACTTCAAATTTATCTGCCAGACTTTTCCACTGATAGAGAACATACAAAACCTTTTATTGCATCATTTTTACTTCTCTCAGATTCAAACGTTTACTCTTTCCCCAACTGCCAAGACACTGCTTTCACACTGATTGCCGGATCTTTTAGAAAAAAAAAGCTGTGTTCATCGCCACTATTATACATCATTTCCCCTCCAGATGTGCACTATTGTTACGCAAGAGAAGAGGGGAGCGGAGGACTTGCTGAGTTCGGTGCCCGTTGCAATGGGTCAGGCCGCGTGTGACCAGCTCCTCAGAGGTGGCTGCACTCTTTGACCAGGCGAACTCATCCAAATGGCATTCTGCACACCAATTAAATCAACACCCACCCGGCTAATAACCTGCTTTCTTCTCTTATGTGACCGCTCCCCCAGCTTTCCAGCATTCAGTCATAGGGAAGAATTGTGCAAATGTATGGCTAATCTTTGTTCAGTTCTTCAGAGCAAAGTATTTGTCCCTATAACTAGGCTGATAACTTGAAATATGCCGTTTTCTGACATTTTCATAAACACTATTGCATAAACTATAGTACGTCTGTTTTTATAATTGTTAATTTGGAGCTGGATTTCTTGACAATTTTTTTTAAACTTCTTTAAACTTATAAGTAAACCCTTTATACACCATCAGTCAAGCCTCAGGGCAAAGCTCAGTCCCTGGCCCGAAGTGGGCTTCTTCCTTTGCAGCAGGAAGTACGTCCTATGTATGTGGGACCCTCCAACCCCCATCTGCATCATTTAGAACTTTTACATTAATATTTAGGCCAAAGTCTGTTAGCATTAGGTACTTTGAATTATTTTTAAGTGACAGGAACCAAGAGAATCAATAGCATCATCGTGAAGCGTTCCATACAGGAAGAACGGAAATGTACAGAATCAAGCACATTCATAGTCAGATCTTTTAACATATCTAATTGCTCCATAGTCTGAGCATTGTGAGGGTAGGAACTATGTTGTATTCACGCGTGCAGTCTCTGTGTCTGGCACAATGCCTGGCCTCTAGGAAGTATGCAATATGTGCCTAAGTAACTAACTAGAACCTTATACGTGGGCACGGTCATTATCAATTTCTCCTTAATCACACTCACTCTGGCTTAGCTGAGGCGGGAAAGGACAGGAGTGGTGTAGGTTTGAGTCAGATCCAGCACTAGCAGCAGTTAAGGGGCCTCGGACAAGCACCCTCTCCACCTCCAGTGTGGTCTTTTGTAAAATGGAGATAATAATAACTTTCAGATAGGTTGTTGTGAGGCTAGTATAATGCCTCAAACAAAATGATTGCCCATAAATGTCATTTTTATGATCACCACCCACCCCTGTTTCCTCAATGAAAAGTGCCATAGGCTACTTCTCTGCCATGTTAACAATGAGCCGCAAACACAGACGTGCAGATTATTCACCTTGCTTGCCACATCTCCTCATTGGCCACAGATTCCCAAGAAGATGGATCAAACCTGTAGTTACAAGAAAACAGTAACATTTTTCTGCTAACCACATTTATTGCTATGGACATATAATCTATATATATATAAAAGCCTAAGAGACAATTGCAACCAAATGGACGACCAAACAGGCTGCGTGGGGCGACCAGGCCGGCAGAGGGATTAGTGAGTGATGACCAAACGACCGAACAGCAGGGACAGTTGGGGGTGACCAGGCCAGCAGAGGGGGGCAGTTAGGGCGATTAGGCAGGAGGTAGGTGAGCAGTTAGGAGCCAGTGGTCCCTGATTGTAAGAGGGCTGTCCAGCAGCCCGAGGGGTCCCGAATTGGAGAGGGTGCAGGCTGGGCTGAGGGGACTCCCTCCCTGTTTCCCACCCTCTCTCCGTGCACTGGACCTCTAGTCTTTTATAATCTTCCAAGGCAAATGAAATAGACTAGATCTTGCCTTAGATGGGTTTGCTCAGTGGTTTAGAGTGTTGGCCTGTGGCCCAAAAGGTCGCAGGTTCGATTCCAGTCAAGGGCACATATCCTGGTTTCAGCTTTGCACCCCACCCCCAATAGGGGCTTGTGCAGGAGGCAATCAGTAGGTGTCTCTCTCACATCGATATTTCTCTCTCTCCCTTCCTCTACCCTCTCTTTCAGTCTCTAAAAAAATCAATGGAAAAAATATCCTTGGGGGAGGGTAAAAATATATAGACTGGATCTTGATGTACCAATAGAGACTGAAATAAAAAAAAAACTTATTCTCCTAGAAAAGTTGGATTGTTAGCAATTTGAAATTTTGGTAAATGTGTTCTTAATTTGTATAATGAGCCCCAGTGCCACATGGGAGCAAACAAAGGATTGGTGGAAAGAGGCTGGAGGCATTTAGGGAGCCAGCTGTTCTAAGAACTGTCACCGTCAGGCAAAGGGGCAAGGCTGAGGCCTCAGTCACGCTATGGACACAGCTAAGAGCCAATGAGCTGGTAAGTAAGGGGACAGACCTGAAGGGGAGGGACTCCTGGCTTTGCCACTTCACTGCTGGAACTAGATGCTGCTCAAGGAACACTGGCTAAACTATTTCCTGATTTTCTTCCTTTCTCTTAATTCAACATTCTCTGATGTATCCAGTTTGACTGAACACTATTGTGTCCTTGTACTGTCATTTACAGAAGAGGTTATTTTCTATCTTCTCCTCACGGTGGTCTCAGATGTAGACCAACCTACTCATCTCTGGTTGGAGCATAGCAGTGTAGTCCATTTGCTCAATTTGATGAACAAATCCTTTAGAGCATTTTTCATATGATCTTGCCTATTGTCCTTGAATTACAAGCAATAATTATCTAATCTTTCAATAATTCGTATTTTAAACATAGGCAATGGAGGCGCCTTTCTTTAGATGGTGACTCAGGTTCCAAATGGGAGAAAGTTGCTTCAAGGAAGAGTAGGCATGCCCAAAATAATATAACCAGGCTGATGACAAACAATTGTGAGGAAAATTTCAAGGCCCAGTCTTCCCTATAGAGAAGTTAGTTGCCATTCTAGAAGAAAGGAAAATATGACAAGTGTATGATGTAGAAACTATCACATGCTATAGAGTGATTTTCTTTTTGTTAATCCTCACCCAAGGATATTTTTGCCATACTTTTTTAGAGAGAGTGGAAGGGAAAGAAAGAGGGAGGGAGAGGGGGAGAGAAACATTAATGTGAGAAAGACACATCAATTGGTTGCCTCTTGCACCTACCCCAGCCAGGACTAGGAATTGAACCTGCAACCCAGGTACACACCCTTGACTGGGAATGGAACCCACAACCCGAGATGGCCAAATCTATAACCATTGAGCAACACAGACCAGGGCCCAGAGTGGCTTTTAAAGCTTAGCTGTAGTTAATGAATCTCTTCCACCTTAAGGATATGAGATACAGGCTGGCAGACAATATGCATTACAGGAGTTTCATGCCTCTAACTATTATGTCCACTCAGCTACAACCTCCCTTTCCCTTCAACTGTCCCATTGTTCTTCAAATATGAGGACAAGAAATACATGTTCTTTTTCTCTATAATGATACTTTGTGGGCAGCAAATGACTATTTTAATAAAAATAGAAAGTATCCAAAAAATTTAAAGTCATCTCAAAACAGTGTTCTTTTAGGCACACAAATTGCTATACTCGGAAAAAAATATAACTCTATTCATACCGTCCATATTCTTCAGTCCAGTTATAGATATTTCTTGTAAGTTTAATCCACTCCTCAGGGTTGAATACAATCTCTGAAGGAACCAGTTTGTCACAGGAACCCCATGGCCATAGTGAATAATTCTTTTGCCAGGTTGGGTCACCTTCATGAATTCCTATGCAAACAAAAGTTTCTTTTCTATAGAAAACAGAAAAAAAAAATGATATATTTTTTACCTTAAAGTTCTAAATGTTAAATAAATGTAACTCATGATGCATCGTTTTTGACTCCTTAAACCCTAGTCACCAATAAGCCAGTTGCAACCATTTCAGTTTATTTACATCCTTCCCAAACAGATTGTTGGAAATTTACATTAGTGTGAAAAAAGCTGTTTGGGGGGCTGGGGAGAAGTGAACAGACATAAGTGATAAAACCTATCTGTTTGTAACATTATAAGAAACTGCCTGTGGGGCAAAAACATTCATATCATTAGAATTCTAAAAGAAGAGAAAAATGTTTAAAAAATAATGACTGTCAGATCCCAAATCTTGGAAAAGACACACCTTACTGATTCAAGAAACTCAATAAACCCCAAACAAGTTAAATTCAAAGAAATCCATAGCCACGTACACCATATGCAAAATGAAAGACAAATACTCTTGAAAGCTGACAGGGAAAACAACTCTTGTATTATTGCTCTCGCATATCTGTTTCATAGTTAAGATTGATCCTGCAACCGTTTCGGAAAACACTGTAATAGCAGGGATCATATCCATGCAGCTATACCTAGTACAGTTGTTTGGACACGCTGGACACACAATATTTATTAAATGTTGAACGAATGCCCCGAGGCAGAATTAACTGCTTCCCCAAGCATGCTCCCAGAACACTTGGCTTATACTGTCAGTTAAATCACCCATTCAGGAGACATGTACTGAACACTTACTGGGTCTCACGCTTGAGAAAGCTTTGTTGGAATAGAGCTTATCCTATCATATTATGGCCAGTTGTATTTGTACCCATGTTTATATACAACTGGGCTGTGGTCTACTTAAATTTGGAACTGGTCTCATTATATTACCAGGGCCTAATACAATATAAGCTAGAACATGGCATAGTCAATAAATGTCCAATAAATACCACACACACACACATACCTATTTGGTGATGTTAATGGTGCTTAGAATTTTTAATCCAAAATAGAACAATTAAATGCTATTGTCACAGCATGTTTATATCCATTACCTTCATATTACTTCATGAGCCAGAGTAAACTCCAGGTTTTGAACACCAAAAGTATATTATTATGTTCTTAGTAAGGGATAATTTAACTTTGCAATTTACAAAGTATTTCTGAAGTCCCCCTTAGAAGAGATTAGAAATTATGAAATAAGTTTTTCTTCTTCGCACTCTGGACAATCGCACACACTTCACAGACAGGAGAAATGTTCAATACTATACTATTGGAGGAGTTATTGATTCTTGACCTTAACTATGAATAATTTTATGTTCTCAAATATGGAATTCACAATTTTCATGTTATCTTAGCCAATACAACCGTAGATGTTTTCCTTATTTATAAAAATGCCTTATCCTTTATAAGAAATTCTTAAGCTATTTTTATGTAGTGATGTGATTATTCCTGGAAGCCATTTCCTTTACACTTAAAAGGAAGCCATGGCGTTGATCAGAGGGAAACTATAATTGCTTGCAATTCACCTGAAATGATTTCAAGTAGGAGGCACATCTCCAATTTCTCTGAATTGTACTAAGATCTTATTTGCTATTCTTGCTAATCTGTCTTTATTTTTCCTTTACCCAGAACAATAGCGTTTATTTCTGCCTGGTCTCATTTATGCACAGATATTCAATTTAATTACAAAGATAATCTCACCGGTGACAGGAAAATAGGTGTAGAAAATTGGTCTTTTGGATGAAGCACAGCTGCTACATAAACAATTTTAGAACAGCTTAAGATTTTAGGAAAGCTATTATATTAAAAGAATGCTTACTGTTTATTTATTTCAAGAAAGTGATAAAGATTAAATGTGACCATTCCACTGGGTAATACTCCTTCCACAGGATTCCACCGGTCTCCAGGAAAGTTGACACCTGGTAAATGCTTTGCCATCTTGGGTAAGTACCACTCATAAGTCATCATCTGCCAGAAAAATAACATATGATGTCATGCATTTATTAGACCTCTTTAAGAAAAATCAAATTTAGCAAGTACAAAAAAGAGTTCTAAAATGTGGGTATATGCTTATCGAATATAAACATAATTGGTCTGGCCAGGGTGGCTCAGTAGTTGAGCATTGACTCGTGAACCAGGAGATCATGAATCTATTCCCAGTCAAGGCACATGACCAGGTATCAAGCTCAATTCCCAGTAGGGGCCATGGAGGAGGCAGCCGATGGATGATTCTTATCAATGGTGTTTCTATCTCTGTCCCTCTCCCTTCCTCTCTCTGAAATCAATGTATAAAAAAACAAAAAAAAAAAAAACTTAAAAAAATAAACAATTGAAAAAATACATACAAGCATAACTGAGGTATGTGGCATTGACCAGTCTTGTAATGACTTAAACCTAGGATGTCATGTTTTAAGTTATGACTCTCTTGGGTAAGGTCAGCATCTATAATATCTCCAGACTACTTGTCATGTGAGATTAAAAACTCCATAGTTTAAACTATCTTAATCAGATATTTTGCTTCTTGCAAATTCAAAAACATTCTGTTTATATGATGATCATTTCCATTTTATAATTAAGGAAACAGGCTCTGAGAGAAAAAAAGTCATCAGTTCCATGTCATATATTCAAGAAGTGATGAGGACTTAAATTTAGGTCTAATTAACATTGAAATCCATACTTCTCAACTATAGTAGTTGCCAACTCAAACATTTAAAACCATACTGTGATACCATATTATCAATAAATAATTTGTCAGAAGCTAGATTAAAGATAAAATTAATCGGCATACTAGGTATAAATTCAAACTGCTTATAAAAATGTATCATTTGTGTCCTAACTGGTTTGGATGGAGCGTTGACCTGCAGACAAAAAGGTTCCAGGTTCAATTCCAGTCAAGGGCATGTACCTTGGTTGCGGGCACTTCCCTAGTAGAAGGTGTGCAGGAGGCAGCTGATCAATGTTTCTCTCCCATTGATGTTTCTGACTCTCTGTCCCTCTCCCTTCCTCTCTGTAAAAAAAAATAATCAATAAAATATAGTTGTTTTTTTTAAAAAATGTATCATTTGTAAGTTTCTCTATATTTGCAAATCTGTTTATAAAGTTTTCTCCAAAAAAGTTTTACTTATTCACTAACTCAACAAAATTTGTTAAATTAGTAATGCGTCTAATAATTTTCTCAACCAAAGTAATCATAGTATTTTTTTAAGATTAAGAATTTCTCTTTTCCTATGACTGCTCTAATAATAGATAGATTTATTCTTTTTTAAGTATTTATAGTTTAAATAATAAATCTTATAATTTAAATATATTTCTTCAGTTCTAGAAGATTCAGCTCCAGGATGTTTCACAAGTCCATTCTGACCATATATTTTGCATATAATCATTAAGTTTACAAAAAATTCTATAGCAGAATTATGGTTAATAATTTCTATTTTGAGTGAAATGTTTACTTACCTGCAGCATGACTTACTTTATATTCAACCTAATTTATTCTAATCCCTAGACCAGTGGGCAGTGTTAATTTGTATATAAAAGAACAATTTAAAAATAAATTTACAATAAAATATTCCCATGGTTTGTCATGTGAACTAGAGACCTAGGATATTATTTGAATCTAACATGAAACACATTCTTAAAATATGGTTTAACATTCAACACTCAGTTTAAATAACACAGAGGCAATTCATAGAACTTACACCATTATTTAAGAAATAAATAAAAAAACATGATATATATTAAAAGTGATCATGATATCTGTACCCATACACTGTTAAAATAGAGCTTTTTTAAAAAACATGTTTTTAAATCATTACAATTACTATATTCTCAGTATATTTTCCATATACTCACTTCCTGATCCACTAATGAAATGTCTGGCCTCAGTCCCTCACAATAATGCATATAACGGAGAGAATTTCCTGGCAAATCTCCTCTGAGTAAGATAATTGCATCATGAGGCATAGAGGCTAGAAGGTTCTTTGCAAATTTATCAATCACATAGTTGGTCTTTTGGTCACAAATGCTAAATAAAAGAATAAAAAAAAACACATTAAAATTGCAGCATATTGCTTCAGATTTAATAAGACTGGGCTTATTTTCTACCTCATCCCTTTCCCATCACACAATTTATATTTACTGCTTCAAAGTATTCAAATTTATATTTTCCAACAACATGCTTATACTTGAAAGTGAACACTATCATCTGAAGAAAAAAAGGAACTAATTGTGCAATTGAAAAAAATCAATGTATTATTTCATGTCTAGAATTATAATCATTTTCATGAAAAGAGAATCAGTTAGGGCTCAAGAATAGGACCTTTCCTTTTTCCTAAAATCATATCCAATTTTACTAAAAAGAAGTAAGGTTTCAGATTCCACCTGGAATTTAAGGTAATTTCATGTTAATTCCATGTAGTGCAAAGGAATATCCAGAAATGCAAAAAGAAATCTGCCAGTTTACAGCATAAACTGGGATGCCCTTTGTCTGACTCTTGCATGCCAGAGTGACCCTTTGCACCACTTCCTTGATGTAAATATTTCTCTTTTCTGTGTCCAGCACGGCTAGAGAGCGGGTCCAGTTCCTGAGTAGGGGCGGCTGGGGAGAGAAAAATAAAAGAAAGAAACAAGACGCAGAGATAGCAGGAAAAAGCTGGGACCAGGTGGGACCGCTGCCCTCTTCCGATGGAGAGACAGTGACCCAAAGCCCCTGTGGCGTGTTTATTTTATACCCCAAATACCAGGAAGTTTTCCTATTCATTCCTGGTGCTTGGCTGGATTTACATAATAAACCTCACCCCCTGGCACCTGGGCTGAAATGAAGGTCAAGCTGATAACACTTCTGCCTTTTGGCAGAACGTGTTTCCAGTACGTGGCTTTGCTGACCACCCTGGATTCAGCTGACAATGTAAAGAAATGCCCATGTGCCTTCCCAGGCGCTCTCTACACCTTGAGCCACAGGCTCCCTGTGTTTCTCTCTCCCTCCAGACTAAGCAATCATTAGAGAATGGGGCCCATGAGAAGAGACGAAGGAACAAGGGTTGAGTTGTTACTTCTCTCCAAGCATTATAGCAAAAGCAGCACTACTCCCTTCAATGATGAAGTGAACGTTCTAACTTCAAAGAAAAACTGGCATGAATTCTGAGCATTTCCCATAAAATAAGAAAAAGACTACAAGAGTAAAAGCATCAAATAACTGAACAAGCAAGGTCCTTCCTTGTCTCCTCAGGTCTATTGCATTTAATGATACTGAGAAACAGCCGAAACTTGAATTGGCAGACTAGTGTCACAAAGCAAATAAGCCTTACCAGAAACAAAATATTATCCCTGCCTTTGTAACGGATGCAACTCTTTCCTCCTATGATCCCCTGCTCTGCAAGATGATGCTTCACATTTACCACCCAGCAGTGTTGCTACCTATCCCATCGGCCTGGGGCAAATAAAATAATCAAAACAGAATAAAACCACTCAGCCTGTGCCGACATCCCTGGTGTTGAACCTGGATTGCCAAAGACCTGAGCCAGAAGACTGGGATAAAAGCAAGGTTGGGTAAACACACACTGCGGGCTTGGCAAGCCCTTCTGAGCTAGCTGTGGAGTTGGGTATGGAATCCCACCAGGTGTCCTGGTGATGCAGCCTTCCTAACACTGGCTCTACCCAGGAATTCTAAAGAACGTTGGTTTTTCAAGTTAAGGAGACAGAGGAAATTAAACTTTGTAAAATACCAATCAAATCATCTTATAACAAAACTCCCATGGACTCTTCCTTCCACTTCTGTAATGTTTACTCAATACTGCTGGAAATAAATGAATTATCACCTAAAACTTAGACATCTTTTAGGTTAGACTGAGATTTTCATTAGAATGATTATTTAAAAGATTTTGAAAAATACATATAATACTAATATATGGGTTAAAGAAGCTTTTAGACCAAACATATCAAAATCAAAGGATAACATGGGCCAAATAAACAAGGTTTAAGTTTGTGTGGGCAGAAAAAAAACAAAAGCTTCAACTGTCATAGAAACGTAGGTTTATTTCGATAGAGACACGCTGAATACAAAGGGCTGAAATAAATGAGTAATCGTTAACATAAAATAACAGAACATTTTAATAAAAAATAATATTTTTCTTGAACATTAAGTTACCAGACACTGAATAACTGCACAAATTAATAAGTATAATGCAAATAAACCTGTTTTTCTTGTTCTCCGAGAGCAAAATATTTCTTGTTGTGCACACCAAACAAGTAATTTAAAGACTAATGATGTGGCAATCAGCTGCTAAAATATTCACTACTATGATAGTACAAGTGGAGAGAAATGGTGCACCTGCGTGTAAGGCGCATTAAGAGAAATGAATGCAAGATGATTATAGTAATTAGTCATTAGCAAATGCTGTAGTTCGTTATTAATAATTATGTATAACAGGATATTGTAAAAATTAAGTTATGAAGTTTTTATTGAAATGTTTCTTACATACCGTTATACTGGCTGGGCCACAAAAATATTCATTGTGGACAAAAATATTCATCGTGGGCCACATGTGGCCCATGAGCCACGAGTTTGACATGCTTGTTTTAGACCTTTATTTTAAAACTAGAGACCTGATGCACAAAAATCATGCAAGAGTAGGCCTTCCTTCCCCTGGCTGCTGGCACCAAATTCCCTCTGGCACCCAGAACCTGGGCTTCCCTCACAGCCCAGGCTTCGTCCAGAAGGTCGTCCGGTCTAATTAGCATATTAAGCTTTTATTATTATAGATAATTAATATTCACTTCTACGGTATGAACGAGGTAAGGGCCAGGTATTACTCAAAAAATGAAATCTTTGAAGCCTAGTGTGAATTATTTTAGGGCATGCTACAATGCCCAAATGTCTTTACTCTCTAAGTGGTTTTTTACATCATGGAATTTTACACATACTGCAGACTCTACTAACTCTCTCTAGAGTTCCTTAGAGGAAAATACACAAATGGTTTACATGCACCACCCTGTTTGCCATGCCCTGAACTACATATCACTCATGCTGAGATTCTGGTTAAAAAGTTTAAGGACCATGGCTTTCAGACCAAGCTGTCTCACTCTGAAAAATGGTGGAAGGCGAAGATGAAATAAAGTTCTAGAGTTGAAATAATCCAAAACATCTCTGGCTTGAGTGCTGTCATAAAAAGAACCACTTCCTACCTGTAATTAGAATATATTTGGTAAGTTACAAAGAGAGCTGCTGAAAGCCACTCCAGACACTGAAGGCCTTTGGTGTTCAGCACTCGGTTACTCTCAGAAACCAGCGTGGCCAGCCCGATGCCAGCGAGGACTGCCACCACAGCATTGCTCTGCATCCAGAATCGCTCCACCTGCGAAGAGGCACACCAGGTGACTGATCTGCAATCAATCTGGTACTTACATATCTTACAAATATACTGCTTACACCTAATTGCTTATGCCTGCTGTCATTCAGGTCTTGCTTACTGACTTCCCCAATCCAACTCCAAGTTTCTTTAGTTTTCAATTTTCAAACATTCTTTCTTCCCAGTTTGACATGTGAAGCTCCCTTTTGGGACCCACGCATTCTTTTCGATGCTATGGACTTGGCGTTGACCGCCTGCAATATGGAAAGTGGAAGAGGTGGAGACAGGCGTTTGCCTCACTCCTGACGTTCCCTTCCATGTGCAGAAATGCCATTAGTTTAACACTCGCTGCCCTCTCACTTATTTCTTCCTGTGGGACCATATGGGCTGAGCTGACTGGGAAATGTGGGACCTGGGACTGGACCTGCATTGCCCAGTGGCAGACTCTGTCCCTTTGGCACCAGTGGGACAGTGAAGTGGAGTGGGGTGCAGAAGGCCTGGCCTATGCAGCACAACCTGTGACTAGTGGGTAGGTCTGCCTTCTACTATTGTGGATGCAGAATGAGGAAGCCCCCTTGCTCACAGAATAAACCACATTCTTCAACATGAGCATTATCCTATCTAATAAAAGAGTAGTATGCAAATTGACCATCATGCCAACATACAAGATGGCTGCCCCCATGTGGACACAAGCTGGCCACCACAAGATGACCAGCAGGGGTGGAGGAAAGTTGGGAGGGATCAGGTCAGCAGGGGAGGGCAGTTAGGAGGAACCAGGCCTGCAAGGGAGGGAAGTTGGGGGTGATCAGGCTGGCAGAGGAGGGAAGTTAGGGGTGACCAGGCTTGCAGGGGAGGGCAGTTGGAGGGGACCCAGGCCTACAGGTGAAAGCAGTTTTGGGGGCAGGGGGGAACCAGGCCTGCAGGGGAGGGTAGTTAGGGGTGACCAGGCCTGAAGGGGAGCAATCAGGCTGGGAGGGGAGCAGTTAGGCATCAATCAGGCTGGTAGGGGAGTTGTTAGGGGGTGATCAGGCTGGCAGGCAGAAATGGTTAAGGACAATCAGGATGGAAGGCAGGCGAGCAGTTAGGTGCCAGCAGTCCTGGGTTTTAAGAGGGATATCCGACTGCCCGTTTAGGCCCGATCCTATCCCCTCTCCCCTGTGCATGAATTTCGTCCACTAGGCCTCTAGTCAGTGATAAAGGTCTACTGCTTGTTATCTTGTTTCTCAACTGATTCTGAACTCAGGTGACTAAATAGGATACTATCTATTGGGCCACTTGAACACACAAAAAATTGTTTCAGCTGTTAAGAAAGAATTGTCTACATTTACAGAGTTTCTACTATGGAGAATCTCAGAAATGACAGCCAGGGAAAAATAGAAATGTGGTTGCTCTTTTGCATAGGCCTGGACAGGTGGGATAAGAAATAATAAACTGTTTTGATAAGAGCCCCCAATTAAAACCCATATTTCTTTGCTATTTAGAAAAAAAATCCAGGAGAAATACAGTAGTACCAGTATCTATTACACACATAAAATGCCTAACTTAAATCTACCTTACATTTATTTTTTTATTTAACTATTGTGTTAATTAAACAATGCATTTTTCCTAAAAAGAGGCCTTTGCCTTACTAGTTCAATAATTTAACTTTTGATTTATAATAATGCACTTTATAATTTTAACTATTTCTGAGATGATCTGCTTTCCTACAAGATTCATGAGAGACAAACTGATATATTCTTCACAAACTTTCTGGTCAAAAGATATATTTAAATAAAACTTACCACACCCATGAAAAGTGGTTTTGAAATATCTAAGTTTGCCCTCCAAGCAAAGAACAATGAATAAATGCAAAACATTCCAGTAAAAAGCCACACTAATGATGGGTTCTGTCTATCCCTATAAAAAATTAAAATAGGTCCAAAATTATTTGTGTACATGAATACCAATACTACTATTACATAGTTTTAAACTATAGGAAAATATTTGGAACTCTAAAATGTTCCATTTTTAAGTAGGACTAAAGAAGGATCTCAGTGTTTCAAATTTGAATTGGAATAGATAACCAAAACATAGTAATAAAATACACTCTCTCTATATTCTAGACAGCTAGGAAATATGCAACAAAAGACACAAAGTTAAAATTTGCAGAAGAAATACAAATTATTAATCTTGTTAAATTAAAATGTAATTTAAAAATGCAAAACAAAAGGATAATTTCATGCACCAAAATAATAAAATGACAAATCGCAATAGTACTGGCGAGAATGAGGTTGCTTGAGAATGTATATTGGTACAGTCTTTAAGAAAAGTTAATTTGATAATATATATCAAGATTCTTAAAAATATTCACATTTTGACCCTGTAATTTGGCATGTATAAGTAAATCTTTAAGCAATAACTAGAAATGTGGATAGAGATTAATCTCTAAAAATGCTTTGGTATTACTTATAATAATGGAAAAGCTGGAAACTTTCTAAAGATCCTCTAATAGGAGAATATTTAATTAGACAGACATTTAAATGATTTTAAATATTCTTATGGTATAGAGAAATCCTGACAATATAATGTTAGATATTAAGGAAACAAAACTATAAATGTACATAGTACATATACATTTAAATAAAAAAATATTTGATGGGTTAGAAATTAGTGGTTAATAGTTCTATTTTTTTAGGTTTTTATTTTTAATCATTGGAGGTTACTTTTATCTTTAGAGGAATTCAAGTAGTTGTTTGCTTCTTTTGTAAAGCAATAATAATTGGCTATGGGCAGAGTAAGGTATCAAACCAAAGTTTAAGACATTAAATGACTCGCCTAGTTAGACTATCATACACTGCTCAATCTTTCAAAATCACTAATTTATAATCAGAACAAAAACTATGAATAATACATATTTGCCTTCATAGAAGTGGTTAGAGTAATTTATTTGAAATATAAAGTACTAATGGCCATGTTCTACAATGACATATTAAAAATATTAATTTAATTAATAAACATGGGAAAAATAACAGGAAAACTTATATCACTCACCTTCTTACTAAACATAGATTAGCCCAAACTGCAAGGGCTTGGATGTTGAATGAGAGTTCAATCCTCATGTTTGTTACTTGAGAACTGTAAAAGACGATTGAACTTATTGTTGACAGAAAACAAATTTGGTAAATTCCAAATAAAACATTCTTTGTAAAATACATCGGATTATGTATTGAGTAATTTTAAGGGATGAAGTCAGATTGAAAATTATTTTTTTTTCTTTCAAATTTTGGGGAAAAGTACTTCAAGAAAGAGTTGTACAGTTTTAAGATATTTTTCCAATGGTAACATCTGGTTATCAATTAATATTATTTGGGATAGCATCAGAACAAATAATTTTCAGTGTTTGTGATACTAGTATACGGTATTGATATTGTAAAAGCAATTTGTATTTCTAATTGGCTTTGTAAGAAGTCATCTGAAATGGGTTTCTGAACTTATTCCTGGCCTCCAGTAATTAGCAAGAACAAAATTAATTCAAAGCATGTTTTTGAAGATCCAATCATGAATTTAAAAAAAGGTCAAGAAAAACAATCTCCACCCATTCATTTCTGGGTTACTTTTTTCCTTAAAAAGGTTTCCTTGTTTTCTATAATATTTGGTTCAAAAAATGTTCAAGGAATCTCTGAGAAAATGCATAGTTTTTCCTTATAATTATACTAAATTCTTCCATTGCCTTCATAAACTAATTAACAGGCATTTTCCAAGTGGCATCTGAGCTCTAGCAGTGTCCATTTTTTGAAAAAGAAGTGATTCTATATACCATCTCAAAGAACTTTCTTCTCCCTACTGGCAATTTTACTGGAGAAAATGTGATGCCATAATTATAGAAACCACACAATGTGTATTTTACTAATGGAGACTCATCAACTATGGGAAGATATCCTTACGCATTTTCAAATACACTTGAAAAAATTGATTCCAGCATGAGGCCCATTTCAAGCCATTCTTCAAAAGGAATGAAGTCAGCCTCAAAATTAATTCTTGGAGATCTGTTGCTTAAATGTAAGCTCTAAAACATGGTCACTGCCTAGGGTTAGATTCAATAATTTCCTTGTACAGGATTGCAATTTAGAGATATGCGTGGGGGAAAGAATTTAATTTGCTTGACTGGCAAAGGGTTGATGATTAGGTTCCATCATTTTGAAGGATTTTCTAGTAAGTTAATTATGAGTTCCCTTTCTCAACATTCTTGTCCACCTGAAACAATTAAACACTAGAAATTCTCTTAATCAGAGAGTATAAGGATTATGCTTCCATTTTTACATTATAATCTTGTCCAAACAAATAGTGTAAGCGGTCATCACTTTTGTCAGGTTTTTTTTTTCTTCACCCTAGGGGTACAGCCAAACTTGTTATTTCCATGTAAAGGGGGCCTATAACTACCTAACAGATGACTTTTATGTGTTATAATACTTAGGAAAGTTAGATGTCTAGTCTAGGGTTGCTCTTGAGAGTTCTTTGGAGTTCATGTGGGATTTGTTAAAGCAAATACACCAGTAATCCTGAGTGTGATAGCAGCCCCGAAAGGTAGGTAAAAAAAGAGCAGGCAGTGAGTCTGGCGCAGAGCAAAGAAGGAAAAAGTAAAAGCCTTGAGACACTGGCAAAGCTGTCTTTATCTTTAAAAGGGAAACTGAGCCTCTTTGCTGTCTCCCCAGCAAAACAGGAAAGTGGGCTGTAAAAGTCTTAGACATAAAGAGAAATATTTAAAATCAGCTGTGAAAACCATCAAAGGTTATATACAAATAATTGATAGCAGGAAAATGTTTTCAAAGTACAGCACAAAATTAAAAACAGGAGGCCTAATAAATCAGTGTGTACAGAGGTGGGCAAAAGTATACTCCTGTATATTATGAGCCCATTAAAAAAACAAATATGTTAAAAATATTGGAAGAATAGATAAAAACATTATGGATTAATAATAGTGGTTACCTCTACATGCTAGAATTATAGTAATTTGCATTTTCGTATTTTTGCTTAACTGCATTTTCTGAACTTTTCATAATAATTTTGTGTCCTTTTTTAAAAAAAGAAAAGAAGGAAGGATGAAAGAAAAACAAGCTAGCAAGTAAGAGAAACTCTGAACTGATTTATATAGAGACTTGAAATATTCTCCTGACAATTTATATAAAAATTTTTAAGTTGATTTTTAGAGAGAAGAAGCGAAGCGGGGAGAGAGGAAGAGAGAGAAACATCGATATAAGAGAGAAACATTGATCAATTGCCTCCCGCACGTACCCTGAACAGGGATCAAACCTACAACCTAGGCATATGCCCTGACCCAGAGCTGAATTCCCCTCTTTTGGGGATAGGGGATGATGCTCCAACCAAGTAAGCCAAACTGGCCATAACCTCCCCATATTTTTCAAATGGTTTTCAAATTAATAATTAGAATCCAAAATTAATAATTAGAAATAACTTGAGTGTTATAGAAAACTATTCTTCCCTCATTTCATATTGAAAATATTTTTTAAAAAAATTACAGAATTTGTATGGGTATTTTCCAAGCTGTCTTAATTTGTGTAAGTTTTAAAGCAAACATTAATCCATTTTTTCAAAAAAGCTAATAGATAAAATATATTTGCTTGAGCTGGCTTTAATAAGGTTGAACGTTAAAAAATGTATCTCAGAAAAAGAGCTTAAGGACAGTCTAGTCTAGAGGAAAAGTCTTAAGAAACATTAGATATACTAAGCTCCAAAGAATTAAAAAAGTATAGGTCACTTCAAGATAACAAGAAAATAATTGTTCATGTTGATAAATACTATGTTTTAAAATGTCTGGGAGAAAGAAGTCAAAATCAGAACAAAGCATGAACTTTAAATAAAGGAACAGTACATTTGAAGCATTTAGTTTTATAGGTTCTATGTAGTCTCCTAATAGCCGCATTCATTGTTGGATTTATTGCTCATTTTCAGTTTTCTCTTACTGAAGAAGATGGTAGGATACTTGACAATATGCAAAACAACTGCCAACTATGTGGGTGAAAAGTACTCACAGACATACCACTTCACAAAGAGAGAAACTCAGAAGTCCCTCAAACCACACAAAAGAACAAATAGAGAATTCATTTTAAAACAGTTCCAAATATTTCATACTCACAGTAAAATTTCAGACATACTGGATCCTATTTCAGATTTAGCCTAAACATAAGTGAGAAAAGTTTTCATTTACACAAGCATTAAACTAAAACTCTGCTAAGCTATCTTATTTAACTATCTCCATTTAAAAGATACATGCTTTAAATATACAATGCAACATTTCTCTTTATTCCAAGTCTTTACTTCAGAGCCTTACTAAATTTTTAAAGCAAAATCAGTGAAATTAAACATAAATATCATTTAGGAAAAATTTCAGAAATAATAGTTGGCTAAAAATCAGTCAAACTAATCCAGCAGAAATGTCTAGCACATTAATAAATTAATAGTCTTTACACTTAGAATCTCTTTAAGCTCTTTTTTGGGGCACTTTGATTAGAGCTCATTATCATCTGTTAGTCTATAATTTCACCAATGTCTCTGAATTATACAAATTTCAAATCTGGAATGGTCCTCAAACAATATTTTAATGGAATGATCAATATAAGTAAACCAGGAGTGTCAAATTCTCAAGTCAAAAAATAATATGTTTTTTTGCTTTTATTATTATGCTTTTATTATTAAATTTCTATAAAATATATATAAAAGCTAAAGGCATCAACCAACCAGTGGACCAGTTGCTATGATTTGCACTCACCACCAGGGGGCAGATGCTCAACACAGGAGTTGCCCCCTGGTGATAGTGCGCTCCAACCTCCCGTGACCAACCTCCTGGGCCCCTGGGGTTCCTTCCTCCGCCCACCCCTCCAGTCGCCTCTCCTCCCCTTCCCCTCTCCCGTCAGCCAGCCTCTATCATCCCCGATCAGGACTCAGAGAGATGGCCCCAATCTGCCCCGATTGCCAGCCAGGCAGAGGGACCTTACCCATGTACCAATTTGTAAAAAATTTGTGCACTGAGTCTCTAGAATAATGTATATTTAAGTGAAAGTTTAAAACAAATTTATAGATCCACCATTCACTTAAGAAATAGAACTGCATGAGTACATAAGGTATCTCACACAGCCTGACCTTCCTCATCTCCCATAAACTTTTAAAAATATATAGGTTTATTACTTTTGTATGTATCCTTGAGAAATAGATTGTTTAATTTTTGCATGGTTTAGAATTTTGTATAAATTGTGTGATATAATATGTACTCTTTTGAGATTTGCCTTCTTAAGTAAGAAACAAAAGAGCACAAATAATGAAAAATCTGATACAACTGTCTATCCTATCTAATAAAAGAGTAATATGCAAATTGACTGTCACTCCCACACACAAGATGGCCAGCAGGGGAGGACAGGTGGGAGGAACCAGGCCTGCAAGGGAGGGTAGTTGTAGGCAATCAGGCCAGCAGGTGAGGACAGTTGGGGACAATCAAGCCTGCAGGGGAGGGCAGTTAGGTGTGACCAGGCCTGAAGGGGCAATTAGGGGCAGTCAGGCTGGCAGGGGAGTAGTAAGGGGGTGATTAGGCTGGCAGGCAGAAGCAGTTAGGGACAATCAGGAAGGCAGGAAGGTGAGCAGTTGGGTGCCAGTAGTCCTGGATTGTGAGAGGAATGTCTGACTGATCCAGTAGGATCAGGTCTAAACGGGCAGTTGGACATCACTCGAGAGGTCCCAAATTGGAGAGGGTATAGGCTGGGCTGAGGGACACACATAAAGGAATGTGCATGAATTTTGTGCACCAGGCCTCTAGTATTAAAATAAAAACCCATCTGTTTATATTTTTATTTTTCAGATAACTGATACAATAACCACTTTAGTGTTTTCCCCTAATATGTTTTAAGAAAAACAAGCCCTTTTGAACTTCTTTAGGACACAGTAAAATTTACACACTTAGTGAAATTATATTTTATAAAGCCTTTACACATAGGCATTACACTAAATACTAATATGAACACTATTCATCAAATATATATATATAAAAAAGTTTGGGTCAAAGTAAAGTAATATTTCGAGTTTAATTTTTCCTTTAATCTTTTCCAGATATTTTAAATCTCAGACCAAGAGCCCAAAGTGACACCCAGAACTACGGAAATACTTCCAAGTGCTGGCAGCAGAGCCTTTTGAATGCTTGTTACCCTAAAATACATTCAGGATATATATATATATATAACGGTACAACATCAGGTTAAGGGATTCCATTTTTTCCCCTTACATATATTAAAGGTCACATTTCAATGGGCAACTTTGTTCTATAAATAACTGAAATAAAAATTCTACATACTGCCATTAACAAACATTATTTTTGTTTTTTGTTTTTAATGGAGTTCCAGGCAGAACACAGAAGTTTTGCCACTTATTCCTTATAAGAGCTTTAAGTATAAATTTACCAGATTGAATGTTCCATATTCTTCCCTGAGAAAGTGAGTCAAAAATCCCAGCACCGTTGTCTGGTCTCCCCAGGTCCAGCGGGCTTGATTGAGGTAGGATGAGATAGGAAGATAGATGTAGGGCAGCAAACCAGCAGAGAAACACAGGCTCAACTTCCACACAGAGCTCCAGGAGAGTTCCTGCATTAGAGCACAGTGTGTTGTATGACAATGTTTATCTTAGAAGATTCGTCCTGGAACTTCGAGAACACATCACGTAAAACATCAACTATGTTTACTCAGCTCTGATCTCTCAATTTATATGAAGTCGCCACAGAATACTATGTTAAACCTTCTGATTGCCAGGGATTACTAGAAAATTGCATCAGCCTGAACTCCTTTGCATGGCAGGTGAAATCTGAGTGAAGCAAATAATATTAGCCAAGACCCTTAAGTACCATTTTTATTGCATCTTTTAAAATTAAAATCATGTCATGACATGCAGCATTGCAGAGATAACTCAATTGGAAGAGATTAGGTTGTTCAGTTGATTTTGGATATGCCCCCAAATATTGTCCTAATACAAACTCATTTCATCACCTTCATCAGGAGTAGAGTTTCGCTATACACTCTCTTAGGACTATACATTATAATATGAAACTTTCTGCAAGAATTTGGGTCATATCATGGAAATATTTGGCACAAATGAAGCTAGCTTTTAAATAACCTCCCAGCTCACCCAAATGCTATCTATCCTCAATTTACATATAGAATGAAGTACTAAAGGAAATGTGTTGTTTTATATAACAAGGTTGCCTCTATAGAGAATATATTTCTCATTGGCACACCTCTAAAATGAAGGATAATAGTGACAAAGTCTTATATAGATTAAGTCCAAAAGAATTCTGGTGTATTACTACAAAGATTCAAATAGTGGTTGCTTTAGTAATTGGGAAAGAGGGTCTCTTACAAATATCATCATTGGAAATTGCCAATTTTTCTTTACAAAAAAGGGAAATTCATATGTGACAATGGATAGAAGAATCAAGATTCACATTCACCAGATGTTTAACAAGTAGCTGACTTATATTAATATTTTCAAATAAACATTCTTAATTGATTCTGGAGTGTTTTTATTATAGTACTGATTTCATTTGCTATTCCTACAGGGGCAATGAGATACATAAAAAATGACAGCATGAAAAGAATGTAATAAATAACTAAGTGAACAATGTGCTTTGCTATTCTTAAAAGTAGTCTTAAAGAAAGTAAATGCTTGCATTGTGGCAGTTTCTGAATATTACAGAATGGCAAGATGCAACTGCTGCAGAATTTTCCTTTTGTGCAGGAAAGAAACAGGCAGTTACATGAAAGCTATCCACAGGGCCCAGGAGAGTGGTTCCATGTCCTAGCTGTGCATACATTAGATCACCTGGAGAGCTTTTAAAAAATATCAGTGTCTAAGCCTCACCCTGTGTGTGTGTGTGTATATATACATATACACACACACACAGATACATACATTAATATACAGGGTGTCCCAAAAAATGTATATATACTTTAACAGCTGATAGCTCAATTCTGAAAATGAAATGTATTTTAATAAACATTGCTTTATAATTATTCAGTGTGTACGCATTTTTGGGACACCCTATATGTACACACATATAAACACATACTTACTCTTTCAAAGCTTCCCAGATCATTCAAGTGAGCAGCCAGAATTGCAACCAAGTGACTCAGGACTTCTTACTCTGCTTCAAATCCAACTACCCTGCCACTCCACTGGTAGACCTTATTTTCTAGCCTCTGTTATTTAAATGATGGAAATGGCAGGTCCTTTGGGGAGTCATTCTTCCCAAAATGTCATCCTTCATCAGTATCTGGCCTCAGTACAGGGCCAAGAGGCTCTCAAACCAGCCTCCTAACGCGTCAGCTCCGAGTCCTGCATGTTTTACACAAAGCATGGCCTCCCCTCTCAATCATCTAACACCGTGATCAGCAAACTGAGGCTCGCGAGCCACATGCGGCTCTTTGGTCCTTATAGTGTGGCTCTTCCACAAAACACCACGGCCTGGGCGAGTCTATTTTGAAGAAGTGGCGTTAGAAGAAGTTTAAGTTTAAAAAATTTGACTCTCAAAAGAAATTTCAATCGTTGTACTGTTGATATTTGGCTCTGTTGACTAATGAGTTTGCCGACCACTGATCTAACACTTGGTTGTCAGGTTCTTCCCACCTCTCAGACTTCTCAATGAAACCTGGCTAAGAATGACACCATTAAGTTCATAACGTAGATCATTCCTGACTTCAGTTTCCTCACAAAAAGATCAACCAACTGCTATCCCTAGACAAAACACCATTTGCAAGTACCCGAATCTGGGTCCCGGGAACACAGAGACTGAGAAGGTCTGCATTGGAAGCACTGCCCCTCTGGCGGGCCAGCACACACTGCATGGAGAGGACATCTGGGGCTGCAGTTTCCCAGGGGGAAACAGTCCCAGTGGACATCCAGCTCCTCTAGCATTGCGGGATGCTTTCCAGGAAGCTCACTGGGGTCTCACCTCATGGGAACCACTGGGGGCATTTGCAGGGCTCAACCACTTAGGACCAGACAGAGGTGGAGAAGGGAAGCCCGGCTACAAAGCAACCAGCGCTCAGATCTTGGCAAACTGCATTCCTGCTGCCTGAGCAGAGATTCCAACCATTCAGAATCCATAAGAAAATTATGAAATAGGCCAGATGCCACTGTAATCAATACTGCAGAATTTTTGTCAAAAACCCTGTTTCTTCAATGTTGTTAGGACCTAAGGAAATTTAAACAACATATAAAACTAAAAAAAAAAAAAAAAAAGTCAAGTCATGGTGGCATATGTTATATTGGGCCTAAATAAAATATTATGAACTTTCATTTTTACAAAATTCAAAACCTACCTTCTCGTTGAAAAGTCGAAAGAGAATCCATGGTATTATGCACAAAACATAGAGTACTATTGTGTGCTGATTACATAAGCTAAGGCCACAGCAGAAAGCACCAATTTTAGCTATCTGAAAATAAAACAAAAATAAAAAACAAGTTAAATATTCACCTAAAACTCTAAGTAAGCACAATAGTAAAAAGCTATTCTTTATACTAAAACTAGGCGTAACACAGGTCAGATTAAAAATCAATTGCTTAGACACAGTCATTTTTTTTACCAGTCATTAATATTTATTACCACTATTTTTTAAAATATATTTTATTGATTTTGTACAGAGAGGAAGGGAAAGAGATAGAGAGTTAGAAACATCGATGAGAGAGTCATCGATCAGCTGCCTCTTGCACACCCCCTACTGGGGATATGCCCACAACCAAGGTACATGCCCTTGACCAGAATCGAACCCGGGGCCCTTCAGTCCTTTCAGTCCCCAAGCCAACGCTCTATCCATTGAGCCAAACTGGTTTCGGCTATTACCACTATTTTTATTAATATTTTTCATTCTCATCAAAGCATTGCAGTTTGACCTTAAATAACTTTTTTTCAAACTAAATTTCAAAAAGTCCTGTATGTGGACTAGATAAGTCCTAACAGTAATCAGATATATAATTCTTATTTGAGTAAAATCTGTAACTAAAATTCAGCAATTATTTTCTTTACTTTTCCCCCCCATTAAATTAAATAAATGAAATATAACACTATTTATTTAGAACCTTGTTGTCAATGGGTAGTGTTATTACTTTTTTTTTTACATGCATTATTTTCAGATTCAGAAAAAAGTTTATTTTAAACAACAAAAAACTCTAATAGCATCATCACAGATCTGTTTACGGAAACCACAGATAACCACAATGGTTTTTTGGTTCTATATTCCCTAACAACACAATTCTGCCTAACAGAGACGATTTGGTATTTTCCAATGTGTAGACTGTAAGTTCTAAGGAGACAGGCTTCCTTCGAGCTTCAAATTATCTTGATGATAGTGCCTACCTTAGAATTCATTGTAATCTCTTCTGAACTACTTCATTCTTACATTTGGTGCTCTCTTAAAAAGTACAAATTTGGGGAGAGGTCAACAGGGGAAAAAGGAGACATATGTAATACTTTCAACAATCAAGAATTTAAATTTTTAAAGAAATACAAATTTGATCCCTTTTTTTGGAATTGGGGAATAAGTCACTGTACCATAATGGTATATAATTTAAAGTGATCAATCTAGAGCTTGGCATATTACGGATGTCTTTGTCTTGTGCGGGCGCGCGCGCGCGCGCACACACACACACACACACACACACACACACACACACACGATGGTGGAATTAACCAATAAGCCTATCTTTCCCATAGGACTCAGAGGGAATTTCAGAATCCCCTCCTTCTCCAAAAAACTTTTGAACTCCAAGGGGGCGGGTGGTGGGGGGACTGGGGAAATCCCATCCTTTAGACAGACTCTCATGGTCCACAGTAAAAGACATGAGAATATTTCCTCTCTCCACATGCCTAGATTACTTTGACAGTAATCAGGATAGGTAAACAGTATCTAAACCAAAGTTTAAAAGAAACATGGCATCTATCTAGAAATAAAAACACAAAGTGATTTCACTGTGCTCAAAATAGGTTACCTTTGATCTTTCTTTTGCGGTTGCTGCCTCCTCAAAATGTACAGTAAGAGCCATAAGCAGCCCCACAAACAGATTGTTCAAGCTAAAAACCTCTGCCGCGATGGACCACTGCCATGTTAGACGAGAGAATGAAAACACCCCCGCAGCAAGGATTCCTCCAGCATGTGAGCCAGAAAGCCTGCAAATACAGATAACATGAAATCTTCTTTCCCAACAGAAAGAACCGAGTTTATTTTATTTTATTTTTTATAACTGTAGCAGTGGAAATCATGACAGTCACCCGGCACCATCCCAACACGCTATATGGTTAGTACATCCCTCCACGTAATAATATTCTTCAACATATTTTAATTAGGAAGCCCGTATGTTAACCTAGTAACACACCAATGAACAAACCTGCTTGGTATCCTTGGGTGCCATGATGTTTAGTTCTCAGACGTAACCTCTAGGGTTCAAGCCAGTTCAGAAAGCCTGAAGAGTTAGTAGCTAGGGAGATAACCTGTGTCATTTTTCTTCCTCTATCTACAAAGCATGATGGTCTAGTTAAGACTGGAATATGCTAAATTGTAAAAATTAAGGAAATGGCAAAATATCTATTCAGGAATCCTCATTCCCTTCCTGGGAATGTCTGTGTCCAGAAACTCTCTATATCCATCTCCCAACATATGGTGAAGCATTTCTTGGTCACAGTATTTGGTAGTTTTAAGACCTTGTTAGCTAAATGCTTAGATTCTCATGATTTCTTCTTTACACAGAGGTGAAGCTAAAAAAAAAATGTATTTTTAAAGAGAGGAATGGGTATGGGAATTTTAATAATGCAGAAAGAATTAAATGCTGCACTTAGAAACAAATTCCTCACTCCCAAAATGCCAATAGGAGCCGTGAATTTCAAATCAGTCAGGAATCCGGATCTCAACTGAGACATGACTCGAGACTGGTAATATGGTTGAAAATACTAGTGTTTATCAAACCAAAACAAGGTCCTATTTCACTGTAAGTCTAAAGCTATGAAAATTAAAGTTATTACAAATGTCTATGTCTAGCAGGAGTTATAAAACTCAGCAGGCACTTCTGTACCTAATAATTTTGATTTATATGACCCCACACATTACTTTTTAACTATATTGTTTTGTATAAAAATTATGGAGTAATTATAAGGTTATTTAACCCAATGATTAGATTGTAACCCAATGTATAAGTAAGAATCTATGAATAAATAGTATTACAAACACAGTAGGTCCTCAGGTTACGTCGGAGATCCATTTCTATGGCAGGATGTAACACCATTTTTCGCCATAAGTCAGAACCCACCTACATAAACCCCTACGTCACTCACATGGAGCACACATCTAAAGAAGTGAAACAGTCAAAAAGCTTTAAAATAAAGATAACAATTCCTGACCTTTACTTGTGGTAAATAAATAAAAAACATAAAACACATATGTACATACATCAAAATGATGTATCTTTATTGATTTCAGAGAGGAAGGGAGAGGGAGGGAGGGAGGGAAGGAGCGAGAGCGCATCAATGATGAGAGAGAATCATTGACTGGCTGCCTCCTGCACATCCCCTACTGGGAATCAAACCAGCAACCCAGACATGTGCCCTTGCCTAGAAATGAACGTGGGACCTTTTAGTCCACAAGCAGACTCTCCTAGCCATTGAACCAAACCAGCTATGGCAGAACTTTTTTTTTTTTTTTTTTTTTTTTTAATAAATACTGTAAAAGGGAGATGGCAATGTAACCATGAAACAAAGTACATCGAGTTGGACGTAATCTGAGGACTGTCTGTAAACGGGGGGGGGGGGGGGGGGGGGGGGGGGGGAGTTCATAGAATGCCAACTAATAACTGTATAAGAAATGATAGAATCAGAAATCACCATAACAACAATAATCAATGGGTATTAAACTAATGGGTAAAGATTTAAGAATAACAGAAATATGTGCACAGTCTAACCGTATCTCCCTTTACATAGATTAATTACATAGGGGAGAAGGGGTAACTATATGGCAGACCCCATCTTAGCCACATGATCAAGGTTAACAGCCCAGTAATGGGACAAACACAGTATATCTACGACATTCCTACAAAAAATTCATCACCTGAGTCTAAACAAACTCAAATTGAAGAACATTCTACAAAACAACTGGCTTGTATGTATCAAAAAATTTCAAGGTCTTAAAAGACAAAAAATTCATTTAAATAGGTACTATTTATTTCTTTTCAAATGAAGAAACCGAGGCGAACAAAAGCAAAGTGATTCTTCCAAGGCCAATGGCAATTAAGCAGCAGAACCAGAATTTAAACTGTTCGTCTAGCTATTTAGTGCCATTACATTATGGGATATAAGGTGGTTATTTTAGTTTTAATGTCAAATAATTCATTCTATATTAATGATAAAATGTACTTTATTTGGTGTGAAGAATAGAGTAAAAGTTTTATCAGTTATTAGAATTGTATTTACTTCTCTTTCATCAAAACAACACACTAGCAGCTTGAATGGTGTTCTGCATCTCTCAAGACTGGTTTTAACACTCCATCTCACCCTTCGCCCCCTGGAAAGGGCAATTAGTCAAAGTTTAAAACCATCAGTTAATTAAAGAGAACTGAAGAGATGACAGTCTTGATATGTCTGCATCCTCAGGAAGAAAACTCAAGACTCATTAATCTATCATGATTTTTAACACATTATTATGCTCAGGAAGACATCCTAAAGTGTTTGGATTGTTGCCATTAATAATTGGAATAACTGCCTTTTCATCTATTTCATACAGTTTTAAAAATTGAAGAGAAGATAAAATGATAAACTTCAGTGACAAAATTTATCCAGTCACCTTAGACTATTACAGTTACTTGCATACACTGGCATTTTACTGAAGACTAAGCATACATCAACAAGGTCTATATCTGAATCTCTACCTCCCTTCCCCCCGACCCATACCAAGGCCAGGATGGTTTTGCAAATAATAATCAATAGATTCTTAACACCCAATTTTCCTTGGTATCAGAGAAATGATTTATTAGACTACAAATATGGTTATAGAAGAGAGGTAGCATCATAAAACCAGTAATGGAAATCAAACCTATAATCTTGATTTTTTTTTTTTTAGTATCTCAATGAGCTTGCTTAGAAATCAAACTGTCTTAAGGAATCTGAGTTGTAGTCCCAATATAAAATGAAAACAAAGGGGTAATCTAAAATCCCTTCCCAGCTAATGAGGCATAGTCCTCTCCTATTATACATGCTGAAAATACAAAATACCATTCCAGCCTCCCTTGCAGCTAGACTCTAGAGCATGGGTGTATGACCCGGGCTCTGCCTATCAGAAGCACCCATTCCATTCTTTACTTGGAGGCTGGTGAGGCAAATACATTCCGACATAGCTGGTGGCATTTCTACATAATTTCCATAGAAATTGATGGCAGCACTTTGAGGGGCAATGCTGAGAATCCAGGTCTGTTGGTAGTGTGAGCTGGGGTGTCTGGTGCCCAGAGATGACAGCCAATGGTGGTTTCACTAGAACATACCTGCCTAGAAATCCCCTGGGCTTTCCAACTTCCTTTCTTTTCTTGTTTATTTTTTTTTCCAATTCTATCGATAGATTTGAATATTTCCTTTTGTAAAAAACACAACTTTATAGAGATAATCAATTTAAAGTGACAATAAAAGGTGTTTAGTAATGTTCTAAATCAAACTGTGAATGTCCCCTAAAACGCACACACTTGAACACACTGCCTTTAAAAGTTTTTGCTTAGTTTCAGAATTCGTCAACACTTACTGACCACATAACATGTACAGATGAGTGGGTTAGAAAAATGGAGATACTTTGAGGTATCTGTTGTGGGAAAACTCCACAAGCTGCATAGGGATATATAATGAGGACTTGTTGGTAACACTCTATGCTCAGCAGCAGCTAGAGACTGCAGACTGTGGATGAGCCAGGGTTAGGGGCTTCGCTAGGTAGGTCAGTCAGAATGGCAAGATGGAAAGAGAGTTAAAGTAATGAACCATGGGGCCTGCGTTAGACAGGGAAGGAGGTAAAGCCACAGGTGGCAGATAGAGGAGACAAAAGGATGAGCAAAGGGTTCTCAGTCTCAGAGAAATGGGAGGCAAGTATAAGGGCATCAAGGAAATGAGCAGACTGAAAGCTGAAGTCTCTGGAGTGAAAAGTAGGCTGGGGAAAGGGACATCAAATTGTTGGAAGGATGCGACCATCTGTTAAATGAGACCGGACTCTACTGTTTAAAATAGCGAAATGGAAGTTTCATGTGAAGCTGTTCTCAAAATCTTAACATTTTCATTAAAACTAAGTATTGGTCCTGAAAGATAAGCCACAGATGGGTAAGTCTGCAGGGTGAGTACAGTGTAAAAGACAGGTGTGAGGCCCACTGCCACAGCATCGCATGCATGCTAACGAGGACATGCAATGCCCATGTCAGTGCACAGCAAGCTGAGCCCTGCTGACAAATCAAACAATGATGTCAGCAACGGTAAGCATGAGGAATTTCTGAAGACTTTGGAGAAGGTCTTCATTTTATTCACTGACTCCATAGGTAGAGGTCCCTTATATTGCTCAAGGCATATTGCATAATCTAAGCATGCTTCCTTTCACATTCCTGGACAGAGATAACGAACTAAAAAGCAAGCTGATGTCAGGATGCTTTCACAAAGTGAAGTTTCAGAGCCGTGGCTAGGCACAGTGTTAGCCTCACAGGGTCCACATCTGCAGCCTCTACCCTCCGTCTCACCCTAGCTAGCACTCTGTGGATATTGCTCTCCCAAGGTCCCCAATGACCAGCTAACTGTCTCCTACAATAGGCTTCTGGGACCTCTCTGCTGTCTTGATTACTCCCCCAGCCACACTCTACTGAGCTGACATCTGGGACCTCACATCCCTCTGGTTTTCCTTTTACAGCTTTGATCTGCCTCCTGCATTTTCTCTGAATGGCTCCTATTCTTGCATGAACTCCTTTAAAGTCAGTGTTCCCCAAGATTTCATTACCAGGCAATTGTTTCTTCTCACTCGACTTACTCTGCCTGGGTGGCTTTATCTACTCTCTGGATGTCAATTGCCCGCTACAAACTGGAGAAACCAAACCTTTCTCTAGCACGGCCTCTCCCTTAAGTTAGGACTTACATATCTCTGACTGCTGCGCACCTCACCACAAAGCCAC